AAATACATACAATATTATAAAAAGTATAAAATTTCAAAATTTACAAGTTAAAGATTTCAATATTGGTAAAATGTTAAAGTTGTTTAAATTGCACACATACATTTAGAAAGCTTTCATCTTTTTCGTCCTTTTTTCTCCTTTTATGGTAATTTTATGTTTTATGTTTTTTGTTTTAATTTTTTGTTTTTTATTGTAAATTTACAGAATTGAAATAAAGCCACAAGTTTGTTGCCCGCATTCAATATTAAAAAGGAAGGTTTTAACTTTATAATTGCGTCTTTGATTTTGCAAAATTTAAGAAATTATTAAATATAAAATTTAATAGAATTTCATATATAATTTGTTACTTCAAAGTTGATTTTATTTTGAATTAAATTTCATTGAATTTGCTGAGCTACGTAGTCGCAAAGAATCACTACATTTTCCTTTCTCATTTTGTACAATTTCAGTTTTGTTGTTTCAGGTACAAACTTTAAATTAATTTTTCATTTTTTATATGAGTTCTGTTTGGGGTTCTACAGAATTAAAATTGCTTTTAATTAAATTTTTAATCTGCACCTTAATTTGGCACTCTTGGAATCTTTTTTTATATATACCATTATTGTATATAATATTAACTAATTGTATATAAATAGAAGATGTATAAAAATAATTTACAATATTTTAAAATAAATCTTTTCACGCCTAAGTATTTACACATAACTTAGCAAGCAAATTTACAAAATATTTTATATATAGATATACAAATATATAAATGTATATACGTATTATAAATAATTAATTACAAGCAACTAGTTGTAAAGGAATTCTTTTTTTCGTATCTAATTAATAGCATTCATTTTTATGTGCTTGTATTTCTCACCATAAAATTATAAATTATATTTAAAATAATACACGACTTGGCTGCTATTTTTAGTATTTTGCTGTTGCAGCAATTTCACTGCTACTAACTTTTTTAGCATAACAACTCTAAAACTAAATAAATATTTATTAAATATCCATAATTTGGTAACTCTAAACAAATATAGTTTGTAATTGTAATTGGTAACGCGAGACTCAATTGGCTCAGTCAACATGCTAACATGATTAGTGTAACTGCTACTTCTACTGCTACTGCTACTGCTACTTTTACATTTGTTTCCGCAGAAGGATTTAGTGTGTGTAGTGTCCGTTTCCGTTTCCTCTTTATGTTTGACATTCATGTTTGTTTGCTCGTTGACAACGTAACGCTGTAGCCATCAATCATTGGCCATACAATAGCCGGAGTAGGTCTGTATGTTGTCTTCCAAAAAGCTTTCGCCCGGAATAACACCGGATTGTGTATGATGACTGGGGCAATGATGTGCTTTGGGGCATTGACACAAAGCATTGATGTTGACTTCATCCAAAAACTCTTGTCGTTTGCGTACAGTGAACAGTTTACAAGGCTGTTTGCGTTGGCAACGAATACGCTGTAAAAAAATTGAAATATTAAATATAAACAATTTTAACTAAGAAAAGTGCATTTTCCATTATTTCTACTAAAATTGTTTGCCTACCGTCAATGGTGAACACGCAAAGAGATAAGTGTAACCGTTCGAACCATCAGCAGCCGGTTCTCGTTTCGTCAAATACGTTACAGAATTCTTCGGGCATCTGCAGTGCACAATCTGCTCGGTTACATTCAGCTCTGTTGATGTCGTCAATGTCCAAGTGTAGTCACGGAAGTGTCTATGCAAATAATTTCATAAAGTTAATAAAAAATAATATTAAAAATAAAATTTTAAAATACTCACTTGCATACTGGCAATTTATGTACTGGTTCACAAAGTTTGTAGTGACGTGTTTTATCAGCTATGGTGTGTCCATCTTCGATGCCTAAGCCACTTGGACAACCACCTATAAAACTTGTGGCTGCTTCCTTTGCTCTATGTGTCATGTGACCTGAATGCCGCATGTGTGCTGTGTTCGTTGTTATGCCACGCATGCTGTATGTACTGTGACGTGGTGTATGTGGAAACTCATTGTCGGTAATCTCGTCTAAGTCTTCTATTGATGGCACTGCATCATTGTCTGCATGCTCATAGTAATCACTTGGCTGCAATTGTAAATCATCTTTGTACATGGCTCCCAATTTTTGTATGAACTTCTTCAGATGTAGACTTTCGAATTTTTTATCCGCAAACTCACTAACCAGCAAACGTTTGTGGTGTAAGATTTTCTCACGTTCATAATAGTTTCGAAACTTATCTCCATAAGAGTTGCTGTGCGGTGATGCAGCATTCTCTTTGCTGCTTTGGTGATGTGAATGGTGATGATGTATTATTATATTTGGCATATGATTGACTTCTGGACAACGACATTGACGTTCAATCCAGGGAGTTTCGTAAAGATCAATTTTCGAACAAACTGCATTTGGAGCACAAATGGGTAAATCTGCTTCCGATTCCTGTAAAAAAGAAATGTTTAATTAGTTATTTAAATATTAAAGCATAGTTTCAGGAGAAATTAATTATGCAGGTGGAAAAATTGTGGGAAGTAAATTTATTAATTTTAATATATCATTTTAATTTTTTTTAATATAATTTTTAATTCATAATTAAAATATTAATTTTATGTGATTTTTATATTTTTAAATAAAAAGTGTTTATGTATTATGTGCTTATTTTGTTAATTTATATGTGTTTATAAATATATATGTGTTTAAATATATATTCTAAGTACTTTCGGAGATTTAAATTAATAATAATATATTAAAAATAATAATATATTATAAAAATATATTTATATTACCCTACATTTTCTAAGTTTTATTAATTTTTTTATTATTATTAATCTTTTTGTATTATATATTGTTTCAATATATTCGATTTTATCTTAATTACCTTAAGCAGTTAGATTTTATTTTAATAATTTTATTTTTTAGGGTATATGGTTTTTTTCATTTTTAATTATTAATATTAACACTTTTTATTGTGAAATATGTGCTCATACATATAATTTATTTTATTATCTTGCTTATTTTTTAATATTGTGTTCTGTATATATATTTTCTGTTTATTGTTTAAAAACTAATGCCATATATGTATATATTATACTTGTTAAACATACTAATCTTTCTATTTTTAAAATATTCCACTACATTGAAAAAATATTGACTTTTTATTTACTGACTTCCAGTGACTGAATTCCATAGTAGAATCCAGTACTCTACACCTAAAAAAAGATACTATAAATATGGTTAAGATGATATACTTGGATGCAGTAGAAATATTTGATTAAAGAAGAGGTGTGTAAAGGATCAAAAGTAACAAATAGAAGTTATAGATCAAAAATTGTTGTAATAGAGATATTTCTAATTATTACATGACATTCAATTTGTTCTTTTTAGATAATTAGTATGTTAATTCATATCTATGTCAATGATAATGTAATTATTAGTTCTTGATTCTGTGGTTTCTTTATTAAACTAATTTATTTATCAAATAATTAAATAAAATAAAAATACTTTGTATAATCTTAAACAACATTTTGTTTGTTAATAAAACTATTGTTTTAGAAACAAATGATATGTCATTATTGTCAATCTTAATTGCTTATAATTTTGGATATACTTCTGAGTAAATGAACTTTTAAGAATTTACATATTTTTACAAATATTTACTAAACTATTTTAAAGTGATTTTATAAAAAAAAAATTATGAAGTTTCATTTAAAATGAAATTGAAAAAATTATGATAATAAAAAAAATCCATAAAATGTTTGTTTATGACACCTTTAAAAATGTAATATAATTTAATTTGAATGGAATTTCTTTCATTCTCCCATATACTCGCACACTCAACGCTCGAACTTCCTCAACAATAATATCAAGAGTGACAGCAAAAATGTTGGTCGCACCATCAACGGCAACAGCATCAGCATCAGCAACAGTAAAGGCAACAACAACCATAGCACACTTAAGTGCCATTCATGGAATTAAAGCAAACAACGCAGATACAAACTAAAACTGCTACCGGAATTACTACCAACGTGTAATGACCATTATTAACATATTCCCTACAAGAATTCCCGAAAAAGACTGTGCCCAAGCACCTAGCGTCAAGCGTCAAGCACCAATAACAAAACAAAGAAAAATCAGAAAGAGCACCAAATCCCATCCCAATGTAGCATGTCTTGCGCGTAGTGTCCAATTTATTGTGGTGCACTTCGATGAACAACAACAACTGCACATAGTTCAGCTACGAATCCACTATCCACTATATTTTTATATTTCCAGATACTTGAGTTTATTGCTGGTCCATGCAGCAGCCACTCTTGACGCTGTTGCTGTTGATTATGGCGTTGTTGATATTGTTTTGTTCCCTTCGGTGATTATTACTAGTTTTTTTTTTAATCTTTTTTACAGATTTTTTTTTTTGTTTTTTTTTTCATTCCCCTCAAAGAGATCTTTAATATATAATGTGTGCTGTGTCTGTCTGTCTCTGTGTCTGCCTGTTTTTAAGGGTTATTATTAAACATTTTTAACCTCGTTTTTTCATTGATACATTCTTTCACTTTTCCTTTATCTGTGTCTTGACCACGTTCAAAGTATTTACATTTTAGTTTGTTTTTTTTATTTATTATTTTTTATTTTATTTTCAATAAAAAACAATTTAAAATGCTTGCCTGCCTCAAGCTTGACATTCCATAGTTGAATAAAAATGAGAGAAAATTGTTATTGTTTTTTTTTTATTATTCTTATTTTATTTATAGTCTCCATAACCTTTTTTTCTAGAAATATCATTATCTCGTTCTCCCTTTTTTCTAAGTTGAAGCAACATTGTATAATCTAGTGGAGTTCCAACTTCTTAGCTTGAGTGTTTAGAATTCCTGCTCAAGGTGTTGTTAAAATTTATTGAAAGATTATGTTTACATAATAAGATATCCTGCAGCAAATTGGGCTAGTGTAGCATAAAAAAAAAAAAAGAAAAAAGGGAAATATATAGCGTAGTATAGAATAGAAGAATTATGATATCAAGAACATAGCAAAACTGCCTTCAACAAGGGTTTCTGCTTAATATAAAATATAAATTGCTAACATTTTGAATAAATAAAAGCATATACTATAAAAATGTTATGCAATATATGTCTTCACTATTTAAAATTGTATTCACCTTCTAAGATCATTCCTTATCATACCTTAATGCTCAAAATAGGCGTCTTTTGTAAGCACACTGCAAAAAAGCAATATCTTATATTAAATATAACATATAAAACAGAAATCTTCCGTTTTTAGTCTCATAAGCGAATTGTTTTGAAATAAGCAATAAGCAAATAAACCTAGCGTTATGAAAACAATGGACTGATCTATTATTAATATAAAATTATAATGTTTAAAAGCACTTGCTAGTTTGTGTATATTAAATCGATCATATATCAAAATAAGATATGGCAAGCCAATGCAATATTTATTTAAGCTATTTAAAGTGACCATTGTTGGTACTTTTATTAATGATCTTGTTGTATTGTAATTATCTATGTTAATGACATTTTATTAATGTAAATTTTATTAGTGATTGTTGTTAAAGACAACAATTAAAGTTCTCTTCAATTTAAATAAACATAAGATGCTTTTACCACATGAATTCTTGAATTCATTCTTCATGTAGTGTTTAATAATAATAATTATTAAATATATGACTTTATATATTTATGTTTTCAACCAAGCTATGGTAACAGTAAAAATGCAACCTATGAAAAGCAGAACAAATGATATCACTATTAGCTTCTATATTCTTATTCATGTTTTTCTTGTATTACAAACCAGTATAATAGACAAATTCCCAACTTTTAAATAAAATGAAAATTATATTAAGTGTTCGAAAAATATTCTTACATCGAAAAGAAGACCTTATGTGGAACAAGTATTGAGAATGAAGAAAAGAAACATACATTTAGTTACATATGACAATATTATGAGTAATCATAAAACATATATATAGAAAGTAATTAGCAATGAATAATACCGAATATTTGGTAGAAAAAATTTCAACACAATCTACTTAAAAAAATCTACTATAAAAAATAATAGGTGATGCAAATAAAGATGATTAGCAAGACTTGAAGAAAAAAACCTGCCAGAAGTGACATGAAAAATTTGAACGTAAAGAGAATTGAGATCATTATGATCGACGATCAAAAATAATATAGTCGTAACATAAATATTCTACATTTGAATAAACAGTATACAATATAATATAAAATAATAAACACAATGAAATAAAAGAGGGTTCCATTTATCTATGCACCGCCAATTAAATTGTTATGAATTTTACAGCTTTAAGATCAGCATACATTGTTATAGTGTTGTTGTTGTTATTGTTTTGGTTTGTTTGTTTCTATGTGTGTGTGGTTGTTGTTGTAATCCTTTACGCACATACGTTCATTACGCTCTACTAACAACTTAAGCAGGTCTCCTAAGTGCTTATATGTGTGTGTAGTAGGGTCCTTAGAACTAAAGTAATTTTACATTTGAAAGCACTTGGGAGCAGATATGACGCTGCATAAAAATGTGTAAGAAGGAAGAAGGAATGGATGCTGAAGAGTCTAGTGAATATATTGTGATGTCTATTGACCCAATCAATTTAAAGTGGCTGCAACTCCTTTAGCTTTGAAGTTCATAACATAACATAACAGAGATACTTTTCATTTCAGATATTAAATGTAAAAAATATGTTGTGTTATTGTTATTGTTGAAAATGGAGTGGAGTAGCTTCTTATATCCTTCTCAGCTTTTGGGATTTTGGTAGTATAAACAATACTTAAAATCTATGACTGTGAAGGATGTCCACAAGTGCTTGAAGGAATTTATTAGAAGAGTTTTTTCTTCTTCTATTTTTAAGTTAAAATATTACACTGATGAATGATATTTTAGTGAAGTTGAAGTGGTAATGAAATTATTTTTAAGTGTTAAGTACTCCATTAAAAGTAGTTCATTTAAAGAGAGTTGTGGAATACTCGTAGATATTATTTTTGTTTTTATGTATTTTTGTTTATTGTTTATGTTATTTATGCTGTTTAGGCAAATAATTAATAAAATATATTAAATACATATAAATATATATTTTCGGTAAAATTTTATTACACTGAGTAGAAGAAAGAAGTTTGATAAAAAATTAAGTTAATTAAATATATAAAGAATGAAAAGTAATGTAAAGTAACATATAGATTGGGAATTAAATATATAATTAATATAATATAATTAATATAATATAATAATATAATTAATTAATTAAATATATAAAGAATGAAAAGTAATATAAAATAAAGTAATATATAAATTGGGAATTAAATATATAATTAATATAATATAATTAATATAATATAATAATATAATTAATTAATTAAATATATAAAGAATGAAAAGTAATATAAAATAAAGTAATATATAAATTGGGAATTAAATAT